TTTTAAAAACAATGTAGTCACACATATATTTTACCATTACCTTAACAGAGTAGCCATATTTGTGGACGTCTGCTGAAATGGAGGTCACGCCTGGACACCGGAAGTCCCACTTAGGTACAGGGTAGCCGAGTTTCTCCACCCTGTGGGGGGGAGTAGTAGGTAACGTAGAGTAGCGCTGAATCAACGTGTGTATAAAGCGATATCTACTAAATTGGTGTGAGCAGGGTATTCTCGGTCCTTAAGTTGTGTAGGAATGGTAAGTGACTTGACGGTGTCAAACTAGTGTTCATTTTGAGGCTGTATTGTGCCGCTGGCGTGGACTAAGCGGTAGAGCGCTAAGCTGCTAACCCGAAAGTCTCAAGTTCGAATTCGGGTTCATGCCAACTCTGATGGGTACCTAACTCATGTTGGGAAAGAAAAGGCGGCTGGGTACAGTGCTGACCACACCTTCCTTTCATTTTCCGACGTCAATAAACATATGAACTGTAATTCATCTGCCTAATGGATCGCTAGGTCTAAAGAGGATTCTTTATTTAGATTACAAACAGTAGCGTCACTGGCTCAAACCACTTCAAAGAAATTACCATTTTCGTTTTGGTGTCACCCCTTCCCATACGATTTTATTATTTTAATTGAAAAAAAAAATGTTTTGACAGTAAACGCATTTTCGATTTGGTGTCACACACTAAATGGTGTCACTCCCCATAAATGGTGTCACCCCCAAAATTGTGTCACCGGTGCGGATCGAACCCCACCCTGTGACGCCACTGGTTAGAAATAGTTTAAAAATCCCCGTTATAGATAGATATAATTCAATGGCGTGTCAGAAGCAGAGAGACAGAGGGGGTTGGCGTGTCTTCTCACCATGGCAACATGAAGCCACCAAAACAAGCGTCCACGTGACACGGCAGGCCATGCCTGGCCGCCATGTTGGAGACCTCCTCAACTGGGTCAACGATCCCGTGGCAGAACTGGGGCGCGGAGCATGCGATCAGGACAGTGTTGGGGGTGATGGCCTGGGGATGACATGTGGATGGCATGTGGATGACATGAGGATGGCATGTGGATGACATGAGGGTGACATGTGAATGACATGAGAAAGACATGATGACATGTGGATGACATGAGGGTGACATGTGAATGACATGAGAAAGACATGATGACATGTGGATGACATGAGGGTGACATGTGAATGACATGAGAAAGACATGGTGACATGTGGATGACATGAGGATGACATGTGGATGACATGATGATCACGAGGAAGACATTTGGATGACATTTTGATGACACGAGGGTGACATGGTGATGACATTTTGATAAAATGAGGACAACGTGGATGGAATGTGGATGACATGGGAATGACACAACAATGACATGTAGATGACATGAGCATGACATGGGGTAGTAAATAGGATGACGTATGGGTGACATGAGGGTGGCATTTGGATGACATAAGATTGGCATGGAGATGACATGATGGGTCTTATTGTTGAACACTTTTTATAATAATTTCTGCCTCTATTGCCAACCTTTTCCATAGCGTCCACATCAGCTGTGTAGTCAGACAACACTGGGATGTATTTTATAGACAACCCGAAGTAGTGCGCAGCTTTACCGATGGCCGGATGTTGCGTGAGGGGGCAGATCTAAATTTAGAAGCAAACAAGACCAGTCAGAAATTAAATGTTGCATACATCTCCTACAGCGTTTGGTAATTATCAAAGTTGTTGCGCTCTGTCATCTTTAACAGAAGTCTGACCAACTTACAATTTCCGGCTCTTTGATACACGGGTACAGTCTGTGAGCCATGAGACACAAGTCTGACCAACTTACGATTTCCGGCTCTTTGATTAACGGGTACAGTTTGTGAGCCATGAGACACAAGTCTGACCAACTTACGATTTCCGGCTCTTTGATTAACGGGTACAGTCTGTGAGCCCTGAGACAGTTAACACAAGTCTGAGCAACTTACAATTTCCGCCTCTTTGATTAGCGGGTACAGTCTGTGAGCCCTATCACGGTACGTCTTGACCGCCATCAGCACGCTCTCGGTCCCCCCTGACGTCAGAAACCCCACCGTCTCGCTGTCCCCGTGCAGCATTGCGCATGTCATGCCGACCACTTCCGTTTCCATCTGTCTACAGAGTTAAAAGGGGCGGCCGTCAGAAATACTTTCTTAGTGTCAGTGTTTCTTTCAGACATTGGGGGGGGGGGGGGGGGGTAATGGCTTTAAACTACCGGATAGGGGTTGGACTAAAATTTCAGAAGCTGGGGGGGGTGTATGGGGCACACTGGATGTATTTTGTATATAAATACAATTTCGTTACTGGGGGGGGGGGGGTAGACGAGCATTTGGACCTGTGCCTGCTTGTCAAATAAAAAGTAATGTACAAATATTTTACCAAACCTTAGGCTAGGATAGATCATTGGGTTGAGTCCATTTTCATGCAGGAACGCTTTTAAAAACATTTTGACCACCTGTTCATGTTCAGGCGAGTGGCCAGTTTTTTCTGGGAGGATAAAAAAAAAACATTTCACAAAACTCAAATGTGCCAGCTTGTTGCCAATGTGATGATTTTTTTTTTTAAAGTCTGATTATTTTCTTTAAAAACACTGAAACCAAACGATTTCAAACTAATACGTTTTTTTTAACAGAAATAATGTAGCCTGAAATATCTTGCATTGACATACAAACGCACAATACACAGTCTCTTATGCACACATTATATATATATATATATATATATATATATATATATATATATATATATATATATATATATATATATATATATATATATATATATATATACATATATATATAAATTAAAACGTGCCTGTGAATTGTTCGTATATCTCCTGCTGAAGTTTAAAATGGTCGTCTGTTAATGTGTAGGTGTAGGCAAAGACTTTTCCCTCTAGGTGATCTGTGTCTCTCGTCTTCATCTCTATCATCTTTTTTTCAATTTCTTCCTTGGTCAGTCCTGGAACAATCACAGGTTAATTAGTAATTAGTCAACAGTTATGTTCATACCCCCAGAGAAAATGCGGGGCAATGAGATGGAGGAATTGGGTGGATTTTTTTTTTTACAAAAAAAAAACTGCGTTGATAATTATGTTTATATTAAAATTATTTGTACTAAGCATTCAATTTTTTAAATTATGGTGTTTTGCAGCAGATGTGATTCTTACTGTCCAATCAGATAAACCTTTGAAATTGCCCAGATTTAGCAGAACCAGGCGTCTCAACTCTTGTATAAAAAAAAAATAACTTATTAATTTTTAATCCCATTTCATTTTTACCTAAGATCAGGTACATTAATTTTAGCTCATCTATATTTGTTTGACAGAGATTGAGCAAGGCAAAAACTAACCTTTTTTGGGGATAGCAACAGACATCGGCTTGCCAGTGGAAGCAAGTGTTGTGGTCTTCAAGAAATTCTTGGCCTCGGATTTTAAAACCGAAGTCAAAAGTTCCCCAACACCGGGAATTTCCTTTAGCCCAACAATGAGCAGACGCAGCAAGCCGCGCAGGCCATGGTGTTGATACACACCGTACAGCACAAGCCCAAGTAGGACAAGTACAAAGTGCTCGAAATAAACAAACATGGCTGGAAAAAAAAATAAAACTGTCAAAATCGATCAAAAAACGTATAGATTTAGTTGTACGGTGATTTTTGTTGATTGGTTTCATGTTTTAGAAGGGTGTTTAAAGAAAATCTAGGTATTAACAGTTTGAAATTGCTACCGTATTCATTGTTGATCCCATCATTAGGGGATCGTTCATAAATGACGTCACACTCGGAGGGGGGTCCGTAATTTTGTGACGGTGTGTGATGAGGGGGGGGGGGGGTTCAGATGGTGCGACGTCACACTTTTGCATTATAAAAAAGCAATGTTAGAAAACAAATTTTAGACGTTATTTTGCGTTTTAGAAAACTGTTTTAATACATTGTAATAGGAATTGATTAAAATACTCTATTTTGACAGAGTTCAGACAAGATTTTAGAAAAATATCGATGTTTTAAAAAAAAATTCAACTGCAATTTTGAGGCTGAGGTGTGACGTCATTTTAGGGGGGGGGGGGGGGGCTGGCTTTTTTTTGACGACGCGTGACGGAGGGGAGGGGTGGTGGTAAAAATCGTCAAAAAAGCGTAACGTCATTTATGGATGACTCCTAATTTGTATATATACATACATACATATATATATATATATATATATATATATATATATATATATATATATATATATATATATATATATATATATATATATATATATATATATATATATATATATATATATATATATATATATATATATATATATATATATATATATATATATATATATATATATATAAAGAGATAATGTGGTCAGTTCTTTGCCCAGCCGCCTTACTTAATCCAGGTACTTAATAGAGCTGAGTAGACTCAATGAAGTCCTACAAACTTGATTCCAGGAACCGTGACTTTCGTGCTAGCAGTTGTGAGCATTACCAATTAAAAAAAAAAGATCGTGCAAATCAAGCCCCAAAAAATGTGATGTTTACCCTACCCCCTTCCACAAAAACTTAATTAGACCACCCCAGCAGGTACAGCTCCCACCCCCTCCCCACACTCACACAACAAAACAAGGTGGTACAACAAAATTTGATTTATTTTTTTAAAAATACACTATTGGTGTTTTCCCATTTATTTTTAGCGCAATTTCCATACTGGACAATTGCGATTATTAACTCGTCATTTCTGGATGGACGTGTGTCCGCAATGGATGGATGTGTGTCCGCAGCTTTAAGTCGTATCTTCTCCTCAACGAAGCAATATCGAGGACTAGTTCCGAAGCAATTATGTTAAGCAAGTTACGAGGATGAACATAGGCCATAAAAATTCCGGGTTTCTTTCATGAATTTCCCGGAAAAGCCAAAAAACCTCGAAAAAATGCAGTTTTTTGCCCATATCTCGGCAACCAGACCACTTAGCGACTTGAAACATTTACAAATCGATTCCTGCCATAATTTGGAACAATATTGCCGACGAAAGTTTTCAAAAATATCCTTGCGTTCGGTCACAAAAAATTAATTAAGGAAATTGCGCTTAAATTGTCACTAGACTTTTTATTAACTTGTTTTTTGTTTTTTTTTGTTGTTGTTGAGATAATACTTTTATTAAAAAAAACAGGTAAAGTCCGAACTGTGAATTAAGGATCAAGCTAAATATAAACTCTAGTCCTGTCATTTTGTCTGCTAACAAAATATGCCTTCAATTTAATATAATCAAAGGAATTGTTATAGTATGATAACTGAAAATTTAAAGAGCGACGCAATAGGTTCAGCGAGCAAACCAAACTAATTTAAAGCACTTCCTTTTATAATTATATTTTCTGTTTTCTTATAAGGCTACGGTGTATCGTAGTTAAATTTTTACTGTTTGAATTTTCGTTCTTGACTTTTGGCTTTTTTTCAGTTGCCACTGTTGGTCGTCCATAAATGATGACGTCACGCCTTTTTTTTTGTTGATTCGCCTATTAAAACTCTGTCACACCTCCTCCTATTTCAGTTTTGCTTTTTTAACACGTTTTTATTAACTCAGCTTCGCGTGTGTTTGTTGTTAAAATTGACATCGAAAATTAGCCCACTTCTGATTGCTCTATAGACCTGAAATTTGGCATGCATGCTACTTTCGCCTAACAATTTCAGATGCAATCATAAAAACTAGCAATTAGAGACCGTAATTAGCTTAATTTAATTACGCCCCAAGGACCATAAAATTGAGGACATGATTTCTAAAGATACCGACAAGACTGGAGGCTTATCGACACAGTTACTTCGGCCCCAATCGATGTGAGCGCGCTGGCCGTGATCGTAAAGTGGTTAGTACTTCTCGTTGTGGCCGCGACAACCCAGGTTCGAATCCTGGTCGCTCAAGATTTTTTTAGTCCGTGTATTTATAAACACTTAGTCAATTCATACTTAATCAAGTCATTAGATAAAGTAGAAAATAAACTATATAAAAAACTTTTTTAAAAACCACGTTTTTCATGTGTAGCAACGGACTAAAAAGGAGAAAATAAAATACTTAAAAAAAACTTTTTAAAAAACCACGTTTTTCTTGTGGACTAAAAAGTAGAAAATAACTATTTACATACATTTGATGACAAAAAACGTGGGTCGGGCAGATGGGTCGGGAAATTTGATGGTGAACGTACCCACGTTTTTTGTCATCAAATGTATGTAAATAGTTATTTTCTACTTTTTAGTCCACAAGAAAAACGTGGTTTTTTAAAAAGTTTTTTTTAAGTATTTTATGTAAAATGTAATGAGTTATTTCCCTTTAGTAAAGAGAATAAAAGCCGTAAAAATTGCAAACTCCTTTAATTTTTCTAAAAAACATCGCTAATGTAGCTAATTACTAGTCTATTTACTATTAGTATTTTAGAGAAAAAAAGCTGTTCAAGATTTTATGTTTATCGATCAAACTTTGTGCAATTTTAAAGTCTTTTAAAGGTAAAATGTGAATTTTTATAAAATGCTAGAAACTTTTATTCCTCCCCCCCCCTCCCCCGTTGCATATCATCACAAAAGACTCCCTCCCCCTCCTACCATTATAATGACGTCATTTATTGACAAGCCCAAGGCGCTGGTAATTAATAAAAAATCAAAACACAAGTCAGCTAATTTCACACAAGTAGATCACAAACTTTTAACATTCAAACATAAAACACGAACATTCGGCGATACGGGTCATCTTTTCATTTCACCGCTACACATTTCGGCAGTTCGGGAAACTGACAATCATAAACAAAATACAATTCCTTTAACAAATAGAACTCACCTAAACACATGGTGTGTGGGGGTTGTATGTAACTTGTCTAGCGACCGTAATCAAGCGCGGGCCTGCATCGTCTAATGATACTTTGACCAAAGACCGTTAACGAACAGGACGTGTGTTTGGGGTCTGTGTTCCTGAGATACAAGATTAGATTCGGCGAACCAGGCCTCACTTTATTAACCTCACACTTTTTATCAATCGAATAACGAGAGCACGTTTTATCATTATCGGTGTGTTAAATAACTCATTGATACTCAGGCTAGATAAAAACGCAGGCTAGAGTAGATAGATACCTAGTCTAGAGTAGATAGATACCCAGGCTAGAGTAGATAGATACCCAGGCTAGAGTAGATAGATACCCAGGCTAGAGTAGATAGATACCCAGGTTAGAGTAGATAGATAGCCAGGCTAGAGTAGATAGATACCAAGGCTAGAGTAGATAGATACCCAGGCTAGAGTAGATAGATACCCAGGTTAGATAGATAGCCAGGCTAGAGTAGATAGATACCCAGGCTAGAGTAGATAGATACCCAGGTTAGATAAAAGATGACCAGCTGATTTTCAGTGATCTGAAGGGACTGAGCATACTCAGCTCTTATGGGTACCTGGCAGTTAATAAAAAAAGGATGAACGGGAATACCGAAAAACAGTTAGTGGTCTTGCATAAACAATATCAAACTTCTAAGGGGGGGGGGGGGGGGTTAAAGTTTGGTGACTAGGTCGGAATAATGACCAGAGCAGGGGGGTAGGGTTGTAAGCATGCATGACATTACACTTTTTCATTTTGTAAAGTCATTTTGAATGTAGGCACTAATTTTGCATATTGTTTTTTGTAAATTACAGTAAAAATGATAGCTTTTTCCCCCCAAGGCCAGATAAAGTAGAGTTTATCTGCTTTAGTGACCTCTGCATACCAGGGGATAGTGTGGTCAGCACTTTACCCAGCCACTTTTGCTTCTTTGAGTCAGGTACCCATTAGAGCTGGGTGGACTCATGGATGTCCTAGAGATTTAGAGGCCCTGATCCAAACTCCAGACTTTTGGGTCATAAGCTCTACCATTCAACCACACTATTCCTGATCTTCCAATGAGTAAATATATACAAAATTGAGGTGGGAAAGGGGGGGGGGAGAAGTAAAGAATTAGAATAGTGAGACATTGTTTACAGACAACCTCTAAAGTGTGAGTATAAAATTTCATTATTTGGGTAATCCAACATTTTAAAGTACTGTAAATAAAAGTTTTCCAAGTGGGGTAGGACCTACAATACTCGGTAGCGAGAAAATAAATACCTGATCACTACGCAAAAGAATCTAGATAAAATATGTTCAATTTCTTTTTTTTTTTAAATTATTATTTGGATTTAGTCACATCCTTTACACAACTGCTCCAACAATCAAGACAAAACAAAATAAATAATCAAAAATTTTACTTTTGATATAAAAATTAAATTTAATATACATTAAAGTAGAACTCTTCAGTGAATAGAGTAAATAAATGAGGTCATAAACCAATGTAATCTCAGCATTTGACAAAAATATAAAGAAGTAAAGCACTATGTGTTTTAAATATGAAAGACTAGACTGGAAAGTTTAGAAGGCACTGGAGTTTTGTCCCTTAGCACTAGAGTTCTGTTCCCTGGCACTAGAGTTCAGTCCCCTGGCACTAGAGTTTTGTCCCCTGGCACTAGAGTTTTGTCCACTGGCACTAGAGTTTTGTCCCCTGGCACTAGAGTTCTGTCCCCTGGCACTAGAGTTTTGGCCCCTGGCACTAGTTTTGTCCCCTGGCACTAGAGTTTTGGCCCCTGGCACTAGAGTTTTGGCCCCTGGCACTAGAGTTATGTCCCTTAGCACTAGAGTTCTGGTCCCTGGCACTAGAGTTTTGGCCCCTGGCACTCCTGGCACTCATCCATCTCTGTGACGTACTCCTCTATCTGCATGGTGGTCTCTGAGATGTTGAACCGGCGCTGTATCGCCTGTGACGCCATCTTTAGCACTCTCAGCGGATCAGATTTTTTGTCTGAAATAGACATTTGTAAAACAAATGTAAGTAATCCAAACTTTGTGTGATGGTTTGCAGCTTACATGTTTTAAGATTCTAAAAGTTAAAGTTATCTTATATTGTAATGTTGCTGTAAAAAAAATTTTTAAGTAATATAATTTTTATAGTATATTTTTTAAACTGAAATTATAACTAAATTTAACTTTACTTTAAATTCTACTTTATCCAAAGTCAAATTATAAAAAAGAATTTTAATGGCACAAGATGAGAGTTAAACAATTAAACACAGATACAGTGTTTCTTTCAAACATACCTCGGGGAGGGGGGGGGGGGGGGTATGGGGCACTCGGGGAAGGACAACCATTTTGTTTGCGGAGGGAGGGGGGGGCAGTAGACATAGCTAGATGTAAATTAAAACAGAAAAAAAATCAATAACTTTTATGCAGGCAAACTTAAAACTCAGCACAGCTCAGATTTAAATGGACAAAAACATTATTAGAACTCACCAACAGCTAAGTGGACAGACAGAGCTGTTTTGTCCATAGTCAGTGACCACACCCTCAGATTGTGGATGTCCAGCACACCCTCAACTTCAAAAAATGTTTCCCTCACTTCAGCAAAGTTAATTCCCCTTGGTGTACCTGGGCAAACAAATCATACCAAATTAGCTCCCTTTTTCCTTTTGTAACTTATGTCACATATTCTACTGTTTAGTTAATTAATTTAAAAGTTACAATATATTTTTAATTCAATCCTTGATAAACTATATATAGGAAATTAATTGTTGAACTAATGTCTTTTTTAACAAGACAAAACTGGTACAATATATAAATTATGCTTGTCTATATAAATACAGCAACTTACTACTTATAATAAAATGTTGTGTAAGTTACCTTCTCTAATGAGAGGTACTAATACTATTATGTACTAAAATATATGGGCTTATGTGGCTGAATGATTAAGGCTAAAACCTTGGTAGTTCTGATGCAGGTGTTTACATATAGGTATGGAGTGACTGTCGTTTATAGAAATAACAAGGTAATAACAAAAGTTAGCTAAAGATGTGCAATGTGTGTGTGGTGACCAGCCGTACAGCCAAAACTGCCCATAATCTGATAACCAGCAATGCATGGTCAGTATAGTGACCAGCCGTACAGCTAACAAAACTGACTCACCTTCCATTAAGACAACAATGATGTCCCTCATGAAGGTCAGCACATGAAGGTCAGTATTGTGACCAGCCGTACAGCTAACAAAACTGACTCACCTTCCATTAAGACAACAATGATGTCTCTCATGAAGGTCAGCACATGAAGGTCAGTATAGTGACCAGCCGTACAGCTAACAAAACTGACTCACCTTCCATTAAGACAACAATGATGTCCCTCATGAAGGTCAGTATAGTGACCAGCCGTACAGCTAACAAAACTGACTCACCTTCCATTAAGACAACAATGATGTCCCTCATGAAGGTCAGTATAGTGACCAGTCGTACAGCTAACAAAACTGACTCACCTTCCATTAAGACAACAATGATGTCCCTCATGAAGGTCAGTATAGTGACCAGTCGTACAGCTAACAAAACTGACTCACCTTCCATTAAGACAACAATGATGTCCCTCATGAAGGTCAGTATAGTGACCAGCCGTACAGCTAACAAAACTGACTCACCTTCCATTAAGACAACAATGATGTCCCTCATGAAGGTCAGTATAGTGACCAGTCGTACAGCTAACAAAACTGACTCACCTTCCATTAAGACAACAATGATGTCCCTCATGATGGTCAATGTTGTTACCAGCACAAACAAAGAGAACATAAATGTACAGATGGGGTCAGCTATCTTCCACTCCGGCTGGGGAAAGATGGACACTGGTCAGCACATTACCAGATACAACATTCAGGTAAAGTATAACTACTATAAAACCCTTTTAAAAAATATGTTTTTAAAGCACGAAAAATACGATAAATTCTTTTATCTATAATAGAAAACAGTGATTAAAATGAATAAAAGATTTCCTGATCTACCAAAACTTTTACAATTATTTGAAATCTTTTGATTTGATATTGATACTGTTAAGATTTTCTTCTTACTTTTAATTATTTGAAATCTCTAAATTAATTTTTAATCACATGTAATAAAGTTTTTTTTTAATTTGTTAATAATGTTATTCAAGAGGATTTCTTCCACCATATTTAAATATTATGGGTCAACATGTTAAGTGCCACATATATCTTATGGACTCTGACTAGGCCTGCTTATTATTCTGCTGTCTTATGTCTAATTAGACTGAAATTTAAGTAATGTATTATCAAGGTGTGCAAGAAATCGCTCAGGTATAGCAGTTAAAAATTGTGTTAAACCACCTATTAGCACACAGCCTAGCCTAGTGGTAGAGCAGTAGACTGCTAACCCGAAAGTCTCTAGTTTGAATTCCGGTTCGAGTCAATATATCATTGAGTACACCCAAATCTAATGGGTACCTAACTCACTTAAGGGAAAGACAGCTGGGCATAGTGCTGACCACACTATCCCTTCTAATGTCGAAGTCAAGAAACATGAACTCTACTTTATCTGCCCAATCGATGGGTAGGTCTAAAGAGGAATCTTTACTTATACTTACCTATTTCAACCAATATCTCTACTACGGTGAAAAAATTAAAACCTACCTTGTAATAGATAATGAAGGCAGCAACCAAGACTCCAACACTCTGAAACAAATCACCGATGACGTGAATGAACGCGGCCTTGACATTGATGTTGGACCCACTATGGTGGGACTTTTTCTCCACAACTTTTCCAGAAAGTAGCGGCGCTGTCTCATCCTCCTTGCTGCCGGCTTCTACGTCAGCCATGGCTCCGTAGCTCCCAGTCTTGGAGGCCGACTGGCTCAATCTTCTGGAGTCACCTTCTCCATCATGGCTTTTGTGGGAATGGCTGTGACCTCCACTTTCATGTAAATGGCTGTGACCTCCATTCTCATGGGAACGGCCATGACCTTGGCTTTCATGAGAATGACCATGACCTCCACTTTCATGTAAATGGCTGTGACCTCCATTTTCATGGGAATGGCCGTGACCTTTGCTTTCATGAGAATGGCCGTGACCTTCGCTTTCATGAGAATGGCCGTGACCCCCACCATGACTGTGGGAGTGCTGGTGCAGCGTTGTACCCAGGCTAAAGAAATAAGTTGAAATCATTTTTAACTGTCAAAGAAAAAAGTTGAAATAATTTTAAATTGTCAAACAAAAAAGTTGAAATCATTTTAAACTGTCAAACAAAAAAGTTGAAATCATTTTTAACTGTCAAACAAAAAAGTTGAAATCATTTTAAACTATCAAACAAATAAGTTGAAATCATTTTAAACTACCAAACAAAAAGTTGAAATCATTTTAAACTACCAAACAAAAAGTTGAAATCATTTTAAATTGTCAAACAAACAAGTTGAAATCATTTTTAACTGTCAAACAAAAAAGTTGAAATCATTTTAAACTACCAAACAAAAAGTTGAAATCATTTTAAACTACCAAACAAAAAGTTGAAATCATTTTAAACTACCAAACAAAAAGTTGAAATCATTTTTAACTGTCAAACATAAAAGTTGAAATCATTTTTAACTGTCAAACAAATAAGTTGAAATCATTTTAAACTGTCAAACATAAAAGTTGAAATCATTTTAAACTGTCAAACATAAAAGTTGAAATCATTTTAAACTGTCAAACATAAAAGTTGAAATCATTTTAAACTAACAAACAAATAAGTTGAAATCATTTTAAACTGTCAAACATAAAAGTTGAAATCATTTTAAACTAACAAACAAATAAGTTGAAATCATTTTAAACTAACAAACAAATAAGTTGAAATCATTTTAAACTAACAAACAAATAAGTTGAAATCATTTTAAACTGTCAAACATAAAAGTTGAAATCATTTTAAACTAACAAACAAATAAGTTGAAATCATTTTAAACTGTCAAACATAAAAGTTGAAATCATTTTAAACTAACAAACAAATAAGTTGAAATCATTTTAAACTGTCAAACATAAAAGTTGAAATCATTTTAAACTAACAAACAAATAAGTTGAAATCATTTTAAACTAACAAACAAATAAGTTGAAATCATTTTTAACTGTCAAACAAATAAGTTGAAATCATTTTTAACTGTCAAACAAAAAAGTTGAAATCATTTTAAACTGTCAAACAAATAAGTTGAAATCATTTTAAACTGTCAAACAAACAAGTTGAAATCATTTTAAACTAACAAACAAATAAGTTGAAATCATTTTTAACTAACAAACAAATAAGTTGAAATCATTTTTAACAATCAAACAAATAAGTTGAAATCATTTTAAACTGTCAAACAAACAAGTTGAAATCATTTTAAACTAACAAACAAATAAGTTGAAATCATTTTAAACTGTCAAACAAATAAGTTGAAATCATTTTAAACTGTCAAACAAATAAGTTGAAATCATTTTAAACTATCAAACAAAAAAGTTGAAATCATTTTTAACTATCAAACAAATAAGTTGAAATCATTTTAAACTGTCAAACAAAAAAGTTGAAATCATTTTAAACTGTCAAACAAATAAGTTGAAATCATTTTAAACTGTCAAACAAAAGTTAGAATCAGTTTAAAATGTCAAAAAAACATCACATTCAAAGATTCTCCAGTGAAAACAGGGTAAGTGCCAATAGTTATTTCACCTCAAAACCCTCAAGTCAGGACTAACTCTGGACCACTCCACCACCACACTGGTCAGTTGGCTTATTAAATAAATACACAAGTCAAGACAAAGCTAAATGAGAACCCACAAATGTGTATATAAACATCTATTGCATTGTTACATTTACAGACTGTAGAAGATGAGGCTAGGACTGCAAGGCTTACTTAAGTTGTCGCAGATAAAGGGTGCCATTGAAAACAGAGTCCAATGGAGAGGTGTGGCTGCAGCCCTTTGCTTCTTAGGGGCCACAAAGGAATAAGTCAAGTTGATACATTTGCAATGCAAAATACTTTTTTTGTTAGAAGCTGCTAGTTTTGTCTCCTGTGTGTAGTGAGGTGTCGTACTTTGTCTTACAGGTAAGTTTTATAATGTTTGATACCCTGGAGGTCTCCTAACATATGTGTTGTATGTAGTCTTACAGGTAAGTTTTATTATGTTTTGATACCCTGGAGGTCTCCTAACATGTGTTGTATGTAGTCTTACAGATAAGTTTTATTATGTTTGATACCCTGGAAGTCTCCTAACTTATGTGTTGTATGTAGTCTTACAGATAAGTTTTATTATGTTTTGATACCCGGGAGGTCTCCTAACATATGTGTTGTATGTAGTCTTACAGGTAAGTTTTATTATGTTTGATACCCTGGAGGTCTCCTAACATATGTGTTGTATGTAGTCTTACAGGTAAGTTTTATTATGTTTTGATACCCTGGAGGTCTCCTAACATATGTGTTGTATGTAGTCTTACAGATAAGTTTTATTATGTTTTGATACCCTGGAGGTCTCCTAACATATGTGTTGTGTGTAGACTTACATATCATAACGTTTGATATCCTGGAAGTCTTGTTACAGTTTTGTGTTGCCTTACAGATAAGTTTTATCAGTAACTGATACACCGAGATCAAAAACCTATATGTTTAATCAACACACATTGCTAAGGTTTTAGTCCATGATGATGATATTTTCATTTTAAAACTAGTAAAATGTATATCATCATCAAATATCTATAATCATCAAATATCTATAATCAATTTGATAGTAGTTTGACTTACAAGCAGTGTTTTATCTATAGACTACATAAAATGGACCATAGTGCATATGGTATTTTAAAAAAATAACAGCTAAACTAGCTTTTATATATCTCTCTTGCTAAGTCTGCTAAAATAAGAAGGCTACCATAAAACTAATATTCTGAGGGGAGGTTTCCCCCAGATCATATGATGATTATACATATTTTTCCCAGAAACATCTATAATTCTCTACATTGGGAGCATACGAGACACCACCATGTAAGGGCTTAGCCATTCATACCCCGCTCTCTAGGCATATCCCTACTACCCCCACCAGTCTGGTGAGCTGTGGTTCACGCAAAATGTTTGCAATCATAGAGCCAGGTTTAGTGACGGCTATTAGGGGCAGATAATTTAGTATTTAAACAATTTGGGGGAGGTAACTAAGAAGAGGCTGCTTTCACAAGGGGGGGGGGGATGGCGGGTGTTTATTGTCTTTCACGAGCTACTGATAGTGCTTTATATATTTTCAGTTTAAATATTTTCAGTTGCAGCACTGGTAGTGTTGAATTCACAAATTATGAATTACTGAAAAGTAGAAAATAAAATAACTAAATAGCAGCATAGAGTTCATCTGTTTCAATAACATAGACATGCAAGGGCATAATGACCAGCCGTCTTTGTTTCCCTAACATGTGTTAGAAGCCCATAAGAGATGGGTGGACGCAGGGACGCTCTACTGATTTGAACCCAGACTCGAACTAGAGACATATGGGCTAGTAGTCTAGCTCTCTGCCGCTAGACCACATCGCCCTTTTATCCTAACCAAACCATGTTTTTATTGTCTGTCTTGTAAACCATGATCCTAGCATGCTTTTATTTTTTTTTTTAAATTAATCTGTAAGCTTTAAAAGTTTGTATTTTTTTTAGAGGTGTTTACATATGTGGTGTCCCAGTGGTTGCTGCTAAGTGTGTCTATATTTATCATTAGTGGCTAATGATTCTCATGTCAACAGGTCATCATGTAACCACATTCTGCCTGTGGGGCTGTAGGGATAAAACTGTTGGCTTAGTTTTCTCATGTTAGTTCACTTTTATTTTGTTTTGTAGAGATCATAAACACTTATGAAATTTTTTTTAAAAACTTGAACATTCCTTAAACAATGTTAAGGGATGGAGTGGTCAAGTGGTAGAGGGGAGTGGGGGAGCTAGACTGCTACCCGTAAGTCTCGAGTTCGAATTCAGGTTCAAGTTAGTAGACCCAGCTCTGATGGGTACCTAACTCACATTAAGGAAAGTAAAGATGGCTGGGCATAGTGCTGACCACACTATTTCTTCATATGCCAAGGTCACAGAAATAGATGAACTCTACAACACTTCACTTGCCCTATAGACCGAAGGTTTGGAAGCAAAACTTTACTTTCAAACAATGTTGTGGCAGTTAAAAAAAAATTCACTAATACAATGTTAAAGTCTATACCAGTTGTGGCAGTTAAAAAACTTAAGCATCACTTACACAATGTTAAAGTCTATACCAGTTGTGGCAGTAAAAAAAATGTGAGCATGACTTACACAATGTTAAAGTCTATACCAGTTGTGGCAGTTAAAAAAATTCACTTACACAATGTTAAAGGCAACACCAGTAGCAGCAGTGATTAACATAATGGTGGCATCTATCTCGTAGTTGTCTTCCATGATACGCAGCACCGCAGAGTACACCAGCACACCTGTTAGCACCCACAGCATCAAGATGGACAGAAACGCCCCCAGAATTTCTGCAGACACATACAAGTTTATGCTACAGAATCACAGTGCTAAATGTGTTAGCACCCACAGCATCAAGATGGACAGAAACGCCCCCAGAATTTCTGCAGACACATACAAGTTCATGCTACAGAATCACAGTGCTAAATGTGTTAGCACCCACAGCATCAAGATGGACAGAAACGCGCCCAGAATTTCTGCAGACACATACAAGTTCATGCTACAGAATCACAGTGCTAAATGTGTTAGCACCCACAGCATCAAGATGGACAGAAAAGCCCCCAGAATTTCTGCAGACACATACAAGTTCATGCTACATAATCACAGTGCTAAATGTGTTCACTACATGATGTTGAAAGGGTTCTGATGTTTGGTGTAGAAAAATTAAAATTTACAAAAAATTTAAAGTATGTTTTATAATATTTTCTTACAACAATTTACATTTGAGTAGAGAAGTTAAGCACTTGTATGTTATTCCATAGACAATGGAATGGCTTAAGACAAATGGGGAGGGTTAGGTTAAGACTTTGATATTGTTGGCAGTCAGTTTTCTAACTTTCGCTTAACAAAAAAGTAATGATAAAGCATCTAAAAATTAACAATGAAGCATAGACAAGGCTGTACATTAGATTATATAAAGCCAACAAGTAACCAACTACTGTGGAAATGGAAGTTGTACATTAGATTATATAAAACCAACAACTAACCTACTACAGTGGAAATGTGTACATTAGATTATATAAAACCAACAACTAACCAACTACAGTGGAAATGTGTACATTAGATTATATAAAACTAACAACTAACCAACTACAGTGGAAATGTGAACATTAGATTATATAAAACCAACAACTAACCAACTACAGTGGAAATGTGTACATTATATAAAACCAACAACTAACCAACTACAGTGGAAATGGAAGCTGTACATTAGATTATATAAAGCCAACAACTAACCAACTACTGTGGAAATGTGTACATTAGATTATATAAAACCAACAACTAACCAACTACAGTGGAAATGTGTACATTATATAAAACCAACAACTAACCAACTACAGTGGAAATGGAAGCTGTACATTAGATTATATAAAGCCAACAACTAACCAACTACTGTGGAAATGTGTACATTAGATTATATAAAACCAACAACTAACCAACTACAGTGGAAATGTGTACATTATATAAAACCAACAACTAACCAACTACAGTGGAAATGTGTACATTATATAAAACCAACAACTAACCAACTACAGTGGAAATGGAAGTTGTACATTAGATTATATAAGGCCAACAACTAACCAACTACAGTGGAAATGGGAGCTGTACATTAGATTATATAAAACCAACAACTAACCAACTACAGTGGAAATGGAAGTTGTACATTAGATTATATAAAACCAACAACTAACCAACTACAGTGGAAATGTGTACATTAGATTATATAAAACCAACAACTAACCAACTACAGTGCAAATGGAAGTTGTGCATTAGATTATATAAAACAAACAACTAACCAACTGAAGTGGAAATGGAAGCTGTACATTAGATTATATAAAACCAACAACTAACCAACTACAGTGGAAATGGAAGTTGTACATTAGATTATATAAAACCAACAACTAACCAACTACAGTGGAAATGGAAGCTGTACATTAGATTATATAAAGCCAACAACTAACCAACTACTGTGGAAATGTGTACATTAGATTATATAAAACCAACAACTAACCAACTACAGTGGAAATGTGTACATTATATAAAACCAACAACTAACCAACTACAGTGGAAATGTGTACATTATATAAAACCAACAACTAACCAACTACAGTGGAAATGGAAGTTGTACATTAGATTATATAAGGCCAACAACTAACCAACTACAGTGGAAATGGGAGCTGTACATTAGATTATATAAAACCAACAACTAACCAACTACAGTGGAAATGGAAGTTGTACATTAGATTATATAAAACCAACAACTAACCAACTACAGTGGAAATGTGTACATTAGATTATATAAAACCAACAACTAACCAACTACAGTGCAAATGGAAGTTGTGCATTAGATTATATAAAACAAACAACTAACCAACTGAAGTGGAAATGGAAGCTGTACATTAGATTATATAAAACCAACAACTAACCAACTACAGTGGAAATGGAAGTTGTACATTAGATTATATAAAACCAACAACTAACCAACTACAGTGGAAATGGAAGTTGTACATTAGATTATATAAAACCAACAACTAACCAACTACAGTGGAAATGGAAGTTGTACATTAGATTATATAAAACCAACAACTAACCAACTACAGTGGAAATGTGTACATTAGATTATATAAAACCAACAACTAACCAACTACAGTAGAAATGGAAGCTGTACATTAGATTATATAAAACCAACTACAGTAGAAATGGAAGTTGTACATTAGATTATATAAAACAAACTACAGTGGAGATGGAAGTTGCACATTAGATTATATAAAACCAACAACTAACCAACTACAGTGAAAATGGAGGCTGTACATTAGATTATATAAAACCAACAACTAACCAACTACAGTAGAAATGGAAGCTGTACATTAGATTATATAAAACCAACAACTAACCAACTACAGTAGAAATGGAAGCTGTACATTAGATTATATAAAACCAACAACTAACCAACTACAGTGGAAATGGAAGTTGTACATTAGATTATATAAAACCAACAACTAACCAACTACAGTGGAAATGTGTACATTAGATTATACTATAAAACCAACAACTAACCAACTACAGTGAAAATGGAGGCTGTACATTAGATTATATAAAACCAACAACTAACCAACTACAGTAGAAATGGAAGCTGTACATTAGATTATATAAAACCAACAACTAACCAACTACAGTAGAAATGGAAGCTGTACATTAGATTATATAAAACCAACAACTAACCAACTACAGTAGAAATGGAAGCTGTACATTAGATTATATAAAACCAACAACTAACCAACTACAGTAGAAATGGAAGCTGTACATTAGATTATATAAAACCAACAACTAACCAACTACAGTGGAAATGGAAGCTGTACATTACATTATATAAAACCAACAACTAACCAACTACAGTAGAAATGGAAGCTGTACATTAGATTATATAAAACCAACAACTAACCAACTACAGTAGAAATGGAAGCTGTACATTAGATTATATAAAACCAACAACTAACCAACTACAGTAGAAATGGAAGCTGTACATTAGATTATATAAAACCAACAACTAACCAACTACAGTGGAAATGGAAGCTGTACATTACATTATATAAAACCAACAACTAACCAACTACAGTGGAAATGTGTACATTAGATTATATAAAACCAACAACTAACCAACTACAGTGGAAATGTGTACATTAGATTATATAAAACCAACAACTAACCAACTACAGTGGAAATGTGTACATTAGATTATATAAAACCAACAACTAACCAACTACAGTAGAAATGGAAGCTGTACATTAGATTATATAAAACCAACAACTAACCAACTACAGTGGAAATGGAAGCTGTACATTACATTATATAAAACCAACAACTAACCAACTACAGTGGAAATGTGTACATTAGATTATATAAAACCAACAACTAACCAACTACAGTGGAAATGTGTACATTAGATTATATAAAACCAACAACCAACCAACTACAGTGGAAATGGAAGTTGTGACTCACCCACTCTGTACCAACCAAAACTTAATTTTTTGGTCGCTGGACGGTGAGCCAGGTACAGGGCCATCAGGCTGATCATAAAGCTGGCAAAGTCAGTCAGAAGATGAGCCGCGTCAGACACAATGGCAAGGCTATGGGCCAGCAACCCACCTACAATTAATGATTTTGTTATTAATTAGTTAATTAGTTACCACACAATAGCAAGGCTATGAGCTGGCAACCCACCTACAATTAATGGTTTTGTAATTAATTAGTTAATTAGTTACCACACAATGGCAAGGCTGTGAGCTGGCAACCCACCTACAATTAATGGATTTTGTAATTAATTAGTTAATTAGTTACCACACAATGGCAAGGCTGTGAGCTGGCAACCCACCTACAATTAATGATTTTGTAATTAATTAGTTAATTAGTTACCACACAATGGCAAGGCTGCGAGCCAGCAACCCACCTATGTTTAATGGTTACAATTAATTAGTTAATTAGTTGCCACACATTAAAATATTCAGCAAGACTATAGTAAAAATAATACAGTTTAAAAATAATTAATTTGCAAAAAAATTGTTTTGTTTAGATGTTATTAGTTACGGGCCAACCATCTCCCCCTCATCAACACCATCCTTACCAACCATCTCTCCTGTCATAAACAGCAGACACAGGACACTGGCAAGTATGAGTTTGGTCCTGGCCTTCTTGTTGATACTTTCTTTCTTCAGCTGAGAGTGGCAGTGGCTGTCATCTGGAGCATTAGAGGTGGGGGGAGGGGGTAAATACAGGTGAGAGGTAATTATACAGGTGAGAGGTAAATAGAGGGAAGAGATAAATACATAAGTGAGGGGTAAATACAGGTGAGAGGTAAATAGAGGGGAGATAAATATACATGTGAGGGGTAAATACAGGTGAGAGGTAATTACAGGTGAGGGGTAAATACAGGTGAGGGGTAAATACAGGTGAGGGGTAAATACAGGTGAGGGGTAAATACAGGTGAGAGATAAATACAGGTGAGGTGTAAATACAGGTGAGGGGTAAATACAGGTGAGAGGTAAATACAGGTGAGAGGAAAATACAGGTGAGGGGTAAATACAGGTGAGAGGTAATTACAGGTGAGAGGTAATTACAGGTGAGAGATAAATATACATGTGAGGGGTAAATACAGGTGAGAGGTAAATACAGGTGAAGTGTAAATACAAGTGAGGGGTAAATACAGGTGAGAGGTAATTACAGGTGAGAGGTAAAAACAGGTGAGAGATAAATATACATGTGAAGGGTAAATACAGGTGAGAGGTAAATACAGGTGAGGTGTAAATACAGGTGAGGGGTAAATATAGGTGAGGTGTAAATACAGGTGATGGGTAAATACAGGTGAGAGGTAATTACAGGTGAGAGGTAAATACAGGTGAGAGATAAATATACATGTGAAGGGTAAATACAGGTGAGAGGTAATTACAGGTGAGGTGTAAATACAGGTGAGGGGTAAATACAGGTGAGAGGTAATTACAGGTGAGAGGAAAATACAGGTGAGAGATAAATATACATGTGAGGGGTAAATACAGGTGAGAGGTAAATACAGGTGAGGTGTAAATACAAGTGAGAGGTAAATACAGGTGAGAGGTAATTACAGGTGAGGTGTAAATACAGGTGAGAGGTAAATACAGGTGAGGTGTAAATACAGGTGAGGGGTAAATACAGGTGAGAGGTAATTACAGGTGAGAGGTAAATACAGGTGAGAGATAAATATACATGTGAAGGGTAAATACAGGTGAGAGGTAAATACAGGTGAGGTGTAAATACAGGTGAGGGGTAAATACAGGTGAGAGGTAATTACAGGTGAGAGGAAAATACAGGTGAGAGATAAATATACATGTGAGGGGTAAATACAGGTGAGAGGTAAATACAGGTGAGGTGTAAATACAAGTGAGAGGTAAATACAGGTGAGAGGTAAATACAGGTGAGAGGTAATTACAGGTGAGAGGTAAATACAGGTGAGAGATAAATATACATGTGAAGGGTAAATACAGGTGAGAGGCAAATACAGGTGAGGTGTAAATACAGGTGAGGGGTAAATACAGGTGAGAGGTAATTACAGGTGAGAGGTAAATACAGGTGAGAGATAAATATACATGTGAAGGGTAAATACAGGTGAGAGGTAAATACAGATGAGGTGTAAATACAGGTGAGGTGTAAATACAGGTGAGGGGTAAATATACATGTGAGGGGTAAATATAGGTGAGGGTTAAATACAGGTGAGGGGTAAATACACAGGTGTGGGGTAAATAGAGGGGAGAGGTAAATATACAGATGGGAGTTAAATACACATTTGGATGATATATAAACAGGTAATGGGGGGGGGGGGGTTAATTTAACACTAAATAATCATTATATAATGAACATGACAGTTAATTCTCTGAATTACTGAACTTACTTGAAGTGGATTCAATACCATCTGTGCTGTAAAGCAAAAAAGAAAATTTTAAAATAGCAAAACTGTGATCTTTAACATAACATTTTAATGATTATAATGATTCCAAACCTAAGATATATGAATAGAATGATTAAAAGGATCAGATAAAAGAGTCTGAGGTACTATGAGACTACAAGTTTTTCTCTTCAAACTCTGATGTTCTTTAATCAATCTAGTAGATCAAACATGAGATGGTGCTTTGTTTACCATAGACTGACACAGTGCTACAAATAGCATGTCTGTGTTGTGTACCCACCCACCCTAATTAATTTAATTAATCTAGTAGATCAAACATGAGATGGTGCTTTGTTTACCAGAGATTGACACAGTGGTACAAATAGAATGTCTGTGTTGTGTACCCACCCACCCTAATTAATTTAATTAATCTAGTAGATCAAACATGAGATGGTGCTTTGTTTACCAGAGACTGACACAGTGCTACAAATAGCATGTCTGTGTTGTGTACCCACCCACCCTAATTAATTTAATTAATCTAGTAGATCAAACATGAGATGGTGCTTTGTTTACCAGAGACTGACACAGTGCTACAAATAGCATGTCTGTGTTGTGTACCCACCCACCCTAATTAATTTAATTAATTTAGTAGATCAAACACGAGATGGTGCTTTGTTTACCAGAGACTGACACAGTGCTACAAATAGCATGTCTGGAGTTGTGTACCCACCCACCCTAAACTTTTACATTTAACACTAGTGGAATATTATCCCAGACCCCCTCCCTCTCTGCTCTGATACTTGCTTTAAATAATGTTTTCAATGATGGGATAGATCTATTTAGTGCACATTATTTGATGTAACTGATTTTCTTAACTTGTTAAGAAAAGAGAAATATAACGGAGAAATGTAGAGGGTAATATCCAAAATCTAGATTATTGAAGCACATTTAATACAGAACAGTTTATGATCTCGTTAAAAAAAATTCAGTAATTTTTTTTTTGGGGGGGGGGGGGGGCGGAGTGGCCAAGCGGTAGAGAGCTAGACTGCTAACCCTTAAGTCTAAAGTTCGAATCCAAGTTCAAGTCAGTAGACTGTCCCTGAATTCACCCACCTCTGATGGGTACTTAACTCACAGCAGGAAAAGTTAAGGCGGATGGATTGTGCTGACTACACAATCCCTTTATATGTTGAAGTCACAGAAACAGGTGAACTCTACTTCACTTGCCCCATAGACCACCGTCAGGTTTGGAAGTTGAACTTTACCTGGTTTGGTGATGCGTGTCCGAGGTCTGCAGAATGTACGTCACTTTTTTCTTCTCTCCGTCCAGCTTGGTTTCCACCTTCTCATAGAACTCACCCCCGTTACCCTTATAGCTGGCACCCCCCTTATAGCTTGCACTACTGTACGACTCCGACAGAAACATTGTCTCTTTTTCCTTATCCATCCTCACACACTAGAGTCAGAAACTGTACACTTAAAGTCACTGTTGTTTACTGGTTAGTTAATGGCTGCCACTAATGTTTGGTTTTCAAAGCTTGTGTTAGTAACACAGTATTTAACACCTTTTCTGTTGAGTGCTAAACTAAATAGTTTTGGCATAAGATTTTGTTCTTTAAATAAGAGGTCACTGAGAGTTCTATGAATGATGTGAAATGAAAATAACAGGTCAAACAATGTTGGGCAACAAACAATACAACAAGCCAGGAAGACAGTGTGGTGATGGCCTTTTGTGTGGATAAACTTTTGTATGACAGAGGATTCAGAGTATTGATGGGGGACCTAATAGAGGACCTTAGTGGAGAATTGGTTGAAGACATAATTGAGACCTCTGTGAAGAATTGGTTGAGGATCTAATAGAGGACATTTGTGAAGTAATAGTTGAGGACTTAATTGAGACATCTGTAAAGATTTGGTTGAGGACTTAATTTAGGACCTTTGTGAAGAATTGGTTGAGGACTTAATTTAGGACCTCTGTGAAGAATTGGTTGAGGACATAATTTAGGACCTCTGTGAAGAATTGGTTGAGGACTTAATTTAGGACCTCTGTGAAGAATTGGTTGAGGACATAATTTAGGACCTCTGTGAAGAATCGGTTGAGGACTTAATTTAGGACCTCTGTGAAGAATTGGTTGAGGACTTAATTTAGGACCTCTGTGAAGAATTGGTTGAGGACTTAATTTAGGAACTATGTAAATTCTTGTTTCAGGACCTATTTGAAGAGAGAACCAAGACATGAACAAGGTCATTGTGAAGTCTAATCAAAGGACCTTATTGTAACTGAGATCACCCATAAAGTTCTGATTCACGATATGAGTATGAGGGCCCAGGCCCAGGTGAATGAGACATGGTACAAAATGTTAGATGGCCCTGTTATCATACTTTGGTAAAGACGACCCTTTGAGTGAAAGAAGTTTGAAAACAATGGATCTGAAATGTAGCCTACGGGTATAGTTGGAGTTAAGACTACAAAATATTGTACAAATAAGAGATTCTGTATCATTCATCAAGACCCATTGGCCTTTTCCCCCTAGTAAATCTATATTTATAAATATAATAGAAATGATATAGGCCTAAGCCTAAGATAAATAATTAAATATAGGCCTATGCCTATTAATTAAACAATACACTAAAACATGCTACAGAACTAACCTACCCAAAGTTATAACAACTTTACGGTGGCAATAATTATAAAACGACAAATGTCAATGGCCTAAAGCAGGGGTCTCCAAACTTTTCAGTCCGAGGGCCGCATAAACTATCAAATTTCAGTTCAGGGGCCAATTTCTTCCAGGCTTGTCTTTGATTTTTCGGGGCAAAGTTCCTCAACCATCACTAACAAACGATTTTTCCTTGGACGAAAAGATCTCCGCGGGCCGGATGAGAGGACTTCGCGGGCCGCATCCGGCCCGCGGGCCGTAGTTTGGAGACCCCTGGCCTAAAGTGACACTAAATATCTTGAGAGCGAGAGAGCGGGCGTACAAGACAACAGAACAAGATACCGCGGTACTACCGCCGGTAGATTTGAGATTACCAATCGCTTCACCGTGCCAAACTACAACAATCCCACCGTCAACAACACAGCTAACAACCCCTACCACTTGACCTCGAACTTTCTAACACTCATCGATAACACCTCAAGTGAATCCAAACGTCCATCCAACGAAAAAAAAATATTCTATTCTATAAAGTTTACATAGACATAAATTTTCACTGAAGCTCCAAACAAGAAACACAGTGTCCGTTGAATTACTCAAATGACCGATAATAAAACTCCGAGTGCAAAAGAAATCGTCTGCAAAGAACTCGTGACCTTTTTCCAGTCGGGTGCAACTATTTATCTCCCCGACCACGGAAAATAACCCAAGATACTGACTGAACTGGTGAACTTTGTCAACAAACTGATATACGGTCATTTCAATTTTTTTTAATTTCTAAACGTCGGAAATACTCGGGGAGTAGCGTCGTGTGAAAACTTGCCTAGGCAAACGTAGGCCTAGTGATTTGGACAAACGTAGACCTAGTGATTTGGACAAACGTAGGCCTAGTCATTTGGACAAACGTAGGCCTAGTCATTTGGACAAACGTAGGGCTAGTGATTTAAAATGTAATCCAAAGATTAAAAAGGCATCGCTTTTTGTTTTCTTTTGGTGTCAGTTTTATATGAGGGGGTGGGGTGTAGTGGTTGTTTAATGTAGTATTTAAGGAGTTCACCTAAATTACTGTAGGACAGCTGTTTACCCATCACCTACCCCATAAACGTCATTCATCGTTTCGCCTTAAACCACCATCCAAATATTATACATAGCAAAAGGTATGCAAGAATAAAGAAAAATCAAATGCCGTATTATAAAAAATTAAGAGTGCTCGACACTGGGACTCCCTATAAACGAAATTACTATGTACTATTTTGTGTTTGTTTTGTGTTTGCGTGCAGGCTCCATATAGGCTGTAAAGGTTTCCCTTTTGAACCGGCTTCTGTCATCTCAGCATATGAAGCGATAGTGTTTCCAGTGTGTTTCTAACGTGAGTCAGGTACCCACCAAAGCTGGGTGTGCTCTGGTGCCGTCCTATGTACTCGAGGTCGGGATCCGAACTTGAGACTTTCGAGTTAGCAGTCGTACGCTCTACCCCCCGGCCACGCCGTCCAATACAAATACATGTGTGCACTATATAGTGTGTGCACAATCCATATATAGTATGTGCACGATCTCTATAGTTTAACACAAAGTGCCAAATGTATTTTATCCAGAGACCCAGCTTCATGACCAAATACCCATATTTAAAAAAAAAAATATTTAAAAATAACAACCTTGATTGAGGTGTTTCATTTAACCCTGTCTAACAAAAAAATTATTTAAAAAATAACAACCTTGATTGTGATGTTTCATTTAACCCTAGTTAACAAAAAAAAAATTATTTAAAAAATAACAACCTTGATTGAGATGTTTCATTTAACCCTAGTTAACAAAAAAAAAATTATTTAAAAAATAACAACCTTGATTGAGATGTTTCATTTACCCCTAACTACAACACGACCCTCCATAAGCGTGACGCACGTGAATATCAAGGCAATGATACTCATTAAACAGGTGGTGGGTACAAATTAAAGTTAACCTTGACCATGCACATAAGCTGATCAAGACTTTCAGTAAGGTGGGGTGGGGAAGGAGCTTGACAGGCCTATATATCAACATTGAACAAAACCTCGATCGACGTCCGACCCGAGACCATAGCTAGACAAATATACATTAGAAACGGAACGTCTTGCTGGAGTCTTCACATTTTAACACACATTCACTAGTGGGGGGGGGGGGGGGGTGGCTAAGCCAGAGTTTCTTCCAGGCATCTCTTCGCCCCCTCCCCCCACCCTCCCTTCCAGAAGAAGGTCTACCCCCCCCCCCCCCGAACGAAATGGAATTCATAAAGAAAATCTATACTTTTAACAGTGTCCACCTCCCCGGAAGTCTTAGTCCGCCTCCCCCCCCCCCCCCGGGAGAAAAAAAGTCTGGAAGAAACTCTGGGCCAAGCC